TGGCTTTTAAGCCAGTTTGACCAGCTTAAAAGCCCATCCAAACAGGCTCTTAGTCTATTGTTGTGGTGTATCAACATTCAAGTTCTGATATGACATTTCGAGATATGAAACGCAAAAAATAATAACACAAATTATGTAATTGATGGTATCATGATACCTTTCCAATATATGATTTATCATTATGATCTGATAGATGTTGTATTGTGATACTTTTTCGATAGATGTATCATAATACCTTTTCAAATTCCGATCCATTACATAATGATACATTTTCGATACATTACATAATGATACATTTTTAATACATGATGGATAATGATACCTTTCCGATATTTACAAATAATACATTTTAATACATGATGTATCATGATACCTTTTCGATACACGATGTATCATGCTACTATATTTACGTTAAAGAAATCACATACCTCTTTGATATTTTATGTTTGAACGACTTCACTTCAACAACAGTTTTGCCATTGAAAGAAGAAACACGTAGATACATTTATTGTTAATTAAAATCTTTACCTAATATGGATAAACAAAAATGCAAATTTAGGAAAATCTCTAATTTGAATTTGAAGAAATTTCATGCTAATGCCATGCACATATATACCTAATATCAGTCCATTGGACTCTACGACTAGTTTCTCAAAGTAAACAAAACATATACTAAGGGCCCGTTTGGCCACGCAATATGGTATCATGATATGATATCATAATATGGAATTATGAGATGAATTTAAAGTTTTGTTTGGACATGCGATTTGGAATTTTTGTGTTGTATATTTTCTCATAAACATAAGAATCTCATAAGTTGTAAAACTATTAAAATAGCACAATTGTTTATTCAATCTTACCAAATAAACAAAAATTTATAAAATCACATAATAAATTATTACAAAGCTATTCGTTCTCTACTTAAGTAATTGTTTCATCTAACTTTAATTCATCAAATTTTAATTCAATAAAAAAATGGAACATAAATTGTAGCATACTAGTCTTTAATATAATCCTCCTACATAGTAACAACAATTTCCTCACGTTGAACTTGCATTTCTCGATCATGTAACCGAGAAGACGAACCAATATTATTACTTTGCATTGTAATAAATTAAAAACGGTAGAAGTAATAAATTAGGTGTTGGAGTAAATGAAGAGAACAAATTTATTACTCAACAATCGGTTGGTGTGAGTTAAAGTGACTATATGTTGATGAGAATAATAAATTTTATGTCGGTGAGAATAATAAATTAAAAAAAGTAATGATGTGATTATAAATTTTATTTACATATGAAACAAATGGTTAGTAGATATAAATGTGGGGTTGTTTTAACAAAATATAAACTTCTGGATCAATTTTTGTATTAAGAATATCTCAAATCATGATATGGAATTCTCATATCATGGTTTTTGGAGAATATGGAATCACATCTCATGATTCCATATCATGAGATGGAATCAACGTAAAATTGCATATCCAAACGCTGATTCCATCTCACGATTTCATACCGTGATATGATATCGCATGGCCAAAAGCCTACTAAGTCTATAGTTTTCAGAGTCCTAAACTATATATCAAAGCCTCAACATCTCGCTTCATATATTTCTCAAGACAAGTAATATCAAGAGCGTCGAGCAGATAATTTTATGATAACAATAAACGAAAAAGTATAACATATTAAACCTTACGTAGCTCGAATTTAAATTAATCATATATCAATATAGATATCAAGTATAGACGGAAGTGTCGGAGTTTTAACTATTTGACTCCACATCTTGTTCAACATGATTAGTTGGCAATTTGAGTCAAATCCATTTTTTCAACAGAATTGTCTATATTATTTTTGTTTAGAACATATATATTGTCCGCATGGCATGCAATTTATTGGTGACAAATTTTTGGACCGACTTATATAAAATAAATACATTTCTGATTTGTTGATCTGTCACATGTGAATGATTAATTATGGCAAGTGGCAATTTACTGTCATTAACCTTCCAATTTGCCTAACTCTATATTATTACATGAATCATGAACATACATACATATATATACTAGATAATGTTGCCTGTGCTATGCACGGGCC